CACATACACACACATACGTACACAACACAAGGCACACATATACACACAAATACACAGGAACAAGATTGCACACATACATTGTACTTTGTACAATACTGTATGTATACACTCATACAAACACACACACACATGCATACATACATAAATACATACACAAGCCTACATACATACATACATATTACACACATGTTAATACACATGTACACACACACGCACAACGTTACATGCACACACACGGACATACTGTCACAAAATAATGTAACATTACAGAATATAAACATATCAACATAAAAGTAATTAAGTTACATTGCTATACAATTTTACAAAGTAACCCATCAACATTACATTTTGCCAAAATTGGACATTCTTGTCTAGAGGTGAAAGGTTGAGTACATGTATGTTGATGGGCACTTGACTTATGTTTAAACTAATTAAGCTGGCCATGCACACACATATTTACAGATCCGTGAATCATTGTCCATGAGATGAGCCTGGTTTGTGTCCGTTAAATCCATCCGGTGTCACCCTTTAGGATGACAGTTCTTGCTTACTTGGTAGTTAAGGTACTCCACAGGTAGAACATGCTTTAATCAGCAAAATTTGTTTCCAGTGTCAGGTATTTTGTCTGCCTGCAACTATCTTGGAGTCACCTGCAGCATAATTTTACAATCATGTTATACAAGATGTTCGAAAGTTTGCTGCATTGGTTTTGGGGTGACTGTCATATCTCGTTATGATACATTTGTCATATCTGGTGTCATAAAATAGTATCTGTTTATGATACATTTGTCATATCTGGTGTCATAAAATAGTATCTGTTTATGACACATTTGTCATATCTCACTGTGTCATAAAAAAGTATCTGTTTATGATACATTTGTCATATCCGGTGTTATAAAATAGTATCTGTTTATGATACATTTGTCATATCTGGTGTCATAAAATAGTATCTGTTTATGATACATTTGCAATATCTGGTGTCATAAAATAGTATCTGTTTATGATACATTTGTCATATCTCACTGTGTCATAAAATAGTATCTGTTTATGATACATTTGTCATATCTGGTGTCATAAAATAGTATCTGTTTATGATACATTTGTCATATCTCGGTGTTATAAAACAGTATCGGTTTATGATACATTTGTCATATCTCACTGTGTCATAAAATAGTATCTGTTTATGATACATTTGTCATATCCGGTGTTATAAAATAGTATCTGTTTATGATACATTTGTCATATCTGGTGTCATAAAATAGTATCTGTTTATGATACATTTGTCATATCTGGTGTCATAAAATAGTATCTGTTTATGATACATTTGCAATATCTGGTGTCATAAAATAGTATCTGTTTATGATACATTTGTCATATCTCACTGTGTCATAAAATAGTATCTGTTTATGATACATTTGTCATATCTGGTGTCATAAAATAGTATCTGTTTATGATACATTTGTCATATCCGGTGTTATAAAACAGTATCGGTTTATGATACATTTGTCATATCCGGTGTCATAAAATAGTATCTGTTTATGATACATTTCTCATATCGGTGTCATAAAATAGCATCTGTTTATGATACATTTCTCATATCTGGTGTCATACAATAGTATCTGATTATGATACATTTCTCATATCTGGTGTGTTTATGATACATTGTGATTGTATACATTGTCTGGTTGTGATAAATTATGACATAGCTTCTTTACCAACAGTACATGTACAGGTTCACACAAACCACAACCCAGGAGCCTCAGAGTACAGGACCATTCTGTCCCTGTTTTTTCTCTGTCTTGTCTTCTCTGTATCTCTCTTCTCTTTGCCTCTCTTCTCTACATTTCTTGTCCCTGTCCAGCTCCTCTAACAGTTGGTGCATCTGGTCCAGCTGAGTGAACTCAGGGTGTTGCCTGGCAGCTGGCTGATGTGTTTTACGCCTGTTTGCGGCTGATTTAATCTTGTGTACCACCCCACACACCTCCTCCCACAGGAAGGCAGCCATTCCCACATCCTCAGGTTCACTGTCCTTCACCTCCATGTACACGTCCATGATGATAGTCATGAACATGGACAGGAGGATGAACTGCGCGGTGAACTGAAAGGACAGGAAGATGGCGGGGCCAAAGACGGGGGAGCTCTCTTCCAAAACGGTGAACTGAAACGAGCCCAGCATCATGTTGAACAGGCTTGTGTACGTGCCCAGCAAGCTGCTGTACCCCGGGATGGTGATACCCAAGATGAGGTTAGCTGACAGTGCGAACGCTGTGAAGATGATGCTTGTTGTGACGAAGAAGCTGATGAGCGGTTTTGCTGTCTTCTTCATGGTGTAAAGCAGTGCATTGACGTGCTTGTTGAACTTGAGAAGACGGATGAACTTGACTAAGGTGAAGCAGGTGAGCATGCCGAGCAGGTACGTGTACACCTGGTACCACATGGCAGCTGCTCGGTACAGGTGGAACAGGGTGGGACCCTCCCGCAGGTGTCCTGACACCTCGTCTGTCATGCCCTGTGCGCGGAAGTACAGCCCCATGGCGGCCATGCCTGTGGAGATGATCAGCATCTCCAGCCAGCTCCAAGGGTCCTTCAGGTAAGCAAACAGGTGTGTGTTGAACCTCAGGACTGGATGGGAGAAAGAAAATGGTTAAAACAGGGAACATCAAGATAAGTAGATCAAGATAAGTATCACAATTCATGAAGTTTGAGATTTACAGTCATTGGTTTCTCTTGCAACTGTACATACATTAGATTAACATCTAATTCAGCTCTAACCATGCAACTATTACTGTCTGAGGGCCTGCAAAGGGGGTCTGGATAACGCTCTACGCTGAATTCGGAAACCTCTCGATCACGCTTTACGATAAATTCCAAGTGGCTACAATGCATTACGTATAATTAAAACGCCGAATACGCTCTACGCAAAAATATCAGAGCGGTCCGTCTACGCTCTATGTAGAATTAAAATGGCCGATTACGCTCTACGGAAAAGGGCTTGCGGGCCCCCCTGTCTTTGCAACTGTCTGTGTTTAAAGACAGACTCACAGACAGATTAGGACAGACACACACACATACACACACACACACACTCAAATAATACCAAAAACATGTTAAATTATTTTATATTAACCTTAGCAGAGATAATAATGGTGTTGTCAAGAATGTATTGAACACTAAAAGATATTTCAAGATTTATAACTGTAAGACACACCTTCTCTGACGAGGCTGAAGAGCAGAAAGACCATCAGGCCCATCCGCAGGACCAGCAGCAGGACCTGGCCTTCATGGTGGATCCTGAAGATCACCAGCTCTGTTGCCATGGAGGCACGCCCGGTGATGTGGAACTCTGTCGTCATGGTGACCACAGCGAAGAGGTTGGCGTGAGGGTTGTAGAGAACCGCCTCCGTGAAGACCGCCCGGGTGCGGTTGTCCAGCCAGTCATTGGAGCGGAGATGTGCCAGGGTCTTGAGGCTGTCTTTCAGCGTGCTGCCCAGGGTGGCGATGTAACCACCTCCAGGGTACACACCGTGCTCCCCAACATGCAGGAAACCTGGGCAGGTTATGATGTCAGGGCTCAAAATATTGCATGTGCACCTACATGTATATGTATAGTGCACCCAAAATTGGACCTGTGCACCCATTCTTTTCCTGTGGGAGAACCTGTGCACCCAAATATACATTTTCGTCATAATTTATAATTATACAGGTCTCAAAATCCTTTTTTCTGCTCACCTGTACAGTGGCTGCACCACTACAGGCAAAATTGTCATTGTTTCTTTTAACTTCATAGGTGGAAACGGTGAATGCAGCAAATAAAACATACATTAATTTTGTATAATATTAACAGTACATTGTACATGGCCAAGTGCACGTTAGGTGCAGGTAGTCCAAAATACCTGCAAAGCAATTTTAACTGCACTTATAGTACATATACACCCAGTATTTCAAGCCCTGTATACTAGTATACAGCATATCTTGACATCTATACAGTCATGTAAGTGTCAGAAACATTCAGATTGAAGCTCAGAAGGTTTGTAAATAGGTTTTACTATTATACTAGTAATTGACTTTATTTTATACAATGCATCCAAAAAAATTGTGCCCCCAATTTTTTTAGGTTGGGTGCACCAGTGCACCTATTCCCAAAAATGAATTTCAAGCACTGTGATGTGAACTTAAAGGCAATTTAATCTCATAGCTTTGTTGAGGCTGCAGGGGCAATGGTTTGATAATCCACTGTGTCTAGGGTGCGGTTTTGGAGGGCAGAGCTCAACCCTTTCCTTCCCCTTCCTTCCCAATCAACCCCAAGTTCATTTTTACACCTACATGTAGTTGGAGGCTGGTAAACTTTTATTTTGGAAATGGACAAAAATACATGGGCACATGGATATCATTTGTATTTTAATCAAATCAACTGACTAACCATTATTGATATCCCCATACGTGTAGTCCCATGGTGAGGTCCTGTTGTCAGTACTGTAGTCATGATCTGCTGCCACCCCCCAGCTGCCATTGTAGCTGCCTGTGTCCACTCTACTTGTAGTGTACTCATCCAGACAACTGGCTGCAATGTGAGCCATGGCATCAGGAACGGTGCAGTCTTGTTCTGGGAATAATCAATTAATCAATCAATCAAAATGGTTTATTGCTAAAAATCACGAACATTGCAGCAGAAAGCTGAATTGCGTTCAAAGATGTACAATCATTTTAAAAACGTTAACAACTACACAATCTCAGAGTCCAATTGTAGTAGAATTGCACATTGAAAAATATTTACACGATATGATGTACATTTAGCTTAGTAAAATTCAAATTTTGCTCATCTCATTCACATTGGTACTTAACATATAAAAATTACATTTAACTATTTCATATAAAAATTGCACAAGATATATCAGAGACATTTAATAATTTTATTATAATTATTAAGAGCAAAATCATTTCGTTTCATTCAACAGTCTTAAGAGGGATGGTAAAGGGGTGTTGTTACATCTTGTTGTACGTGTGATAGGGAGAGTCCATTTTGTAAGGTTTCTGAGTTCACGTCGAGTTGACTGTCCCCAGGTTGGAGGTAGCAGGTCCCAACAATAAGGGAGTCAGAATCAAGTGTAACTCAGATGCAATGACATGGATCCATAAATAGTTTCATCAGGTTCAGGTAATGTCAATACACCAGTCTAGCTTCAGACTAATGGCAATATACTGCTTCCTAGTAACTAAATGAATCTAAAAAAGGATTTCTTAAGTCATACCATAAGAAATAAGCAAAACTTAGCAAAACAGATCTAAACTTAATTGTAATTCAAGTGTGTTGCTGGTGTGTTACGCCAAAGGATGGTTATACTGGCTATACTGATACAGAATACAGAAGTCAAATTATGTACTACAACTTAAAAGAAATGGCATAAAGCTGATATGCAGGAAGACCCAAACCTTGTGTGATGCGGATTTGTCGTAGTTGTAAGGGGGAGATGGCGTGTGTGAGGTGTTCAGACAGAGTCAGGTGTTCCTCACACGGCCTCCCGTTGTACCAGGCTGGGCTGTGGACAGCAGGCAGGACATCCTGCTCCAGCCATGTCCAGTAGGACGCAGGGTCAGATATCTGGGGAAAAACAGAAAGCCACAGGACCACAAATCATCAGATTGGTTGAAATATCAAATCCAATTGTGGCATCTGTGTGGTGTAGTGGATAGAGCATCCGACTGTCAAGCAAGCAGACCCAGGTTCAATCCCCAGGGTTGGACCCAGACATGTCCGGACATGCACCCAGACGTTGTGCCCTTGGGAAAGGCACTTAAAGGAGTACTAACCTCCAGAAGGAAGTGCGATTTTCCGATACATCATGCTGCAATGAATACATAACTAGCCGACTTTTTACATAATTTCGCTTAAACGACTTGCGCGGCGCATGTTTGTAAAGCGACATCAATATAAATTTTCCCCATGCTGAACCACAATCGATACATCCAGGAATTCTGGATTACGCAATCCTCATACACTTCAAGTCAACATAAACATTTTTCAGCGAAAATGGTAGGAGACAAGCACATTAACAAGCTGATTATTGAGAAATTACTTGCTTTACTTTGCTTGACCTGTGGTCTGAATACTATTGTATCAGGATGTCTAATGCAGTGAGCGCCGGTTTCATCCTGCGTGTTTTGATTTTCTCAACTTATTTGCATGTAAGTATTAATTGAACAAATGATTAGATTACGCCACTTATGGAAAATATAATTAGATTACGCCGTTTTTTTTCATCGTCTATATTTCGGCATAAATAAGGGGCGATAAGGACATAAAGAAAGGCAATGGTTGGTAAGATACCAAAGAACACAAAACGGTAGGAATTTTTCTTATCGCCCCTGAAATAAAGTCTATAACGTAACTTTTTGTTCAAAACATAGACACCAATGGGGTAGCGTGGTGTATTCTGGGATCGTTTTGAGGGTATTTGGAGAGTTTGTCCTGGATTCGATGCTTTTTAAGACTTGCGCGCAAAATGGGCATTTAATTGTATACTGTAAAGTAATATGCATTTTTCACTTCCTGAAATTAATGCCTGTCGGAATATAGCACCCCCTTCTGGAGGTTAGTACTCCTTTAACACGTATTTCCCCCCTCAGTTAGAGGGATCCTGGGCCCTACTAGGGTTTGGGTTGGCGTTAGGAAGGGCATCCTGCCGTAAAAATCTTTCTCCAAAAAAGGACTTGCATTTGATGCAAGCACGTCTAACCCCGGTTTTGGGGAAAAATGACATTAAAATTGGATAGAAGAAGAATATGACACTGGAATAGAACTACATGTAGAGGGAGCAGAAACAGCTACTATAACCAAGAATGGGTCAGAGCCTGGCAGCATCCAAATAATAGAGGGGCAAAGGGCCAATACATTGAGTGCTTTAGTTTGTTCCTTGCCGTGCTTAGTACATGATTGTATATGACACAGTTTTGGTGCTACAAAATTGCAATCAACAGATATAAAACCTTTGGTTAAAACTTACAAAAATGAAGCTACATATTCCCTATCCAACACACCTTTTATATGTGTTTGTGGTTTAGCAGAATTTTTTGCTAAATTCTTCTTTTTTCCCTCTTGCATTTTTGGTCTGCATACATGTAAGATTTCATCCATAAAATGAAGTCAGTGTGTCCTGATCCATTTGTACCGACCTGTGTGACTGTGTCAGTGCCTTGGAGAGCACTCCTGATGGAGTTGTTCATGTAGAAGGCCAGGCTGCTCCTCTCAGTGTAGGACATGAGCATGAGAACAGACAGGAACAGGCCGTACACCACCATCTCCCGCAGGATGTGGCGGCACCTCTTCCTCCTGACACGGTTAGCTCTGTCTCTGGTCAGGGTTTCACCAGCCAGGGGGGCTGGAGCACCCACTTCAGCAGTGGGCTGTCATGAATAATAATAATAAACTTTATTCGCTGATGAAGGTTAGACATCCAGGTAATACGATACGCCAAAAAGCAGTTACTCAAGCAACTGGATATGATTTTGGAAATGTTTTTTGATGTTTCTAAAATCATATCCAGTTGCTTGAGTAACTGCTTTTTGGAATAACCTTTATTGTACATTCATGCCCTATCAGGCTAAGTACAGGTGAACAGATGAAAAGATAATATACATGTTTGTAGAACAAACAGCTCTAAAACTACACTAATACAGAGGTTCGGCTTCTTCTCGTTTCTTTGTAATGTTAAAAATATAATTTGAAATGGGTTTGTTTAATACAGGATGATCAAAGCGCATAAGAAAGATGTATTTTTCAATATTAGTCAAGTATTGGGAGTATGGAAACGTACTTGCAATATATCTAAAAAGATAATTTCTTTCATTACTATATAAACGACAGCCAATAACAAAGTGGACTTCATCTTCTACTTTGTTTGAGCTACAAAATTGGCAGATTCTTTGCTCCAGAGGTGTGCAGTTGTGCCTTCCTGTTTTGATGCTGAGTTTATGACAGCTGATGTCGTCAATGGACAATTTCGTTACAGGCAAAACGGCAAAACAAAATATATAATACTGGAGGAGGAAGTCTGTCTGATATTAACATCTACTGCTAATTCTAGTAAGCACATTTTCATCATCATTTTATATTTGACTCCAAAAAAGCTTCATTTTTGGGTTCCACCAATAAATACATGTAGCCAGAGCCAGTCTACAATACAAAATATCAAATCAATGTAGATGTGACAGATGAGTGAAATTATTAACTAAAATCCACCATACCATGCCTGCGTGTAGTGAAATGCTATGATGTTACATGTATTTTTAACTATAACTCATTAAATGTGGCTTCCAAACTGTTCTTTCAGGCCATGTTTCAGAATGATACATGTACATGTACCAGTAGGCTTGCCCAACATACATTTGGGGTTCTCAATCATTGCCAGTTTCTTTGTTTTTTCTAATTTTCACCTGAGTGAAATGAGGAAATAGACTATTAGTAACTTAAAGTATATTTACCTTTCCAAAGATCCAAACATTGAGGCTTGTTGGGGATTTCAACCCAGAACCTTGAACCCTAACCACAAAACCAACTTATCATGAAAGTTCATCATTCTGTGTTCAACTTGGTAGTAATCAAAGTAAAACATTGAACTTTATTCCAACACACAGTTTTAGAGATCAAATTTTCAGCGACCACTGTCACCTTCATCAGGATAATTAATGACCAATCACTTCACAACGTGATCTCGCGAGAGTTACAGTTTACAAACACGTGACCTTATTCACACGAGACTTTACTGATACGTGACATAAGCAATTGATCAAAAGTGCCAGGGAGTTTATATCATCCACCATCTCTGATATATACGGCCTCCTTAATGCGTGTTTGTAAACTGTAACTCTCGCGAGATCACGTTGTGAAGTGATTGGTCATTAATTATCCTGATGAAGGCGACAGTGGTCGCTGAAAATTTGATATATTTCCAAACTGTGTGATGGAATAAAGTTCAATGTTTTACAACAAAACCACCTTGCTTAATGCATGATGATCAGGCATTTGAAGGTTCCACACTCACCTGTTCAACCACAGCCTGTAGGTACTCTTCATCACCTGCCACTTCTGTAGGCGGTGGGTCATCTTCTGTTGTAGGTTTCTGAGACAAACACACAAATGTCAAAAATACTGAAGCTCACACCAACTAAAAATGGCCAAAGTCCATGGATTTTTGCACGACTAAGGGTATTGAGACTGCAGTACCACTTTCAAACACTAGGAGGCATTATGTGATGGCCAGCAGGAATCTTTGGTTGCTTTGTCCTTGGTGCTGAAAGCATTGCCAATAACAGCAATTTTCGTTTCAAGTGTATAATGTGGCTGTTGAATGTTTAGGAATGTTTTGCACTGATATAGCTATGTCTTAGTAGCCTTTTATCTACATTTTCTTCAACACAATATTGGTTGGATGGATGGATGGATGGATGGATGGATGGATTGGTGGATGGATGGATTGGTGGATGGATGGAGGGATGTTTTTTTCACTGAGCGTTGTACCTAAGTTGTAATTAAATACCTATTACTGTGCATGACCAGCCCCTGACTAACTTGCATACTTTTAAGAGGTTTGATAAAAAAAAGATCACAACACAAGTCACTATGGTGACAGACGTAAACAAATCATGTCATTGGTCAGGTCAGAGTCACTGTTTGGAGAAGAAGACGAGGAAGAAACTGAGTAAAAACAATGTTTTCCTTCGGTAAACATAATAAAAACAGGAAACATCCTTACCCGGATGAGTAACCCCAGGACGACAGCGAGAGTCAGCACCTTGACTGGCTGGATCAGGATCAGGTCTGTGAAGAAGGACGTGATGAAGGCAGTAAACCACGCCTCCGCCTTCTCACGCCCAAAATTCAGCGTGTACAGGACCGTGAAGTACGCAGCCACAAAACTGACAGCGAACACCAGCAGTCCAGCTGAAAACATGAATGAATGAACAGAAACCGAGTTTTAAACAGATTTTAAAACATTACTAGTATATCATAATATGCATCTATACAGGAATGGATGACAGTGTATTTTAGCTGGTACATGTATTGGTATAAAAGTATAAGTGTAACAAAGTATAAGCCATAACATGGATGGATGGATGGATGGATGGACGGACAGATGGACGGACGGATGGATGGACGGGTAGATGGATGGACGGGTAGATGGATGGAAGGATGCATGGAAGACTAAGGCTATTGAGACTGCAGTACCACTTTCAAACACTAGGAGGCATTATGTGATGGCCAGCAGAAATCTGGTTGCTGTCCTTGGTGCTGAAAGCATGTCCAATAACAGCAATTTTTGTTTCAAGTGTATAATGTGGCTGTTGAATGTCTAGGATGTTTTGCACTGATATAGCTATGTCTTAGTAGCATTTTATCTGCATTTTCTTCAACACAATATTGGATGGAAGGAAGGATAGGTATGGATGGAGGGATGGATGGATGGATGGGTGGGTGGGTATGGATGAATGAATGAATGGATGGACGGAAAGATGAACTTTCTTGCACAATAATCATGTATGGCAACAACTATTAAAAACTACAGATGAAGAGTAGTGGATGCTACTTGAAACTGGCAGTTTTCAAATTCTATCCAGTTGCCTGAGTTAAACTGAGTTAACCCTTGCCAGTAAATATATGTCTGAGGACCAAGAAAATTAGACTGATGTCGCCTAAAGCTCTACAATGTGAGATAATTGACTGTATACTCACCCACAGTTGCTGCCCACCATGGCAGACGGCGTCCTGTTCCCTTTTCAGTGTCTGGGGATTTGATATCTGCAAGGACCAGTTGGAGTTGAAAAGTTGAAAACAAAGATTTTCTCACCAGCATGAAGACATTATAAATCACTAGTAAGAGCGACTTTTAGTTACCAACAGATACCATCTAATTTAATAGATTACATCTAATTTAACTCTTCTATTATCATTTAGTCCTATAGTACATGTTTGTCTCAAAAAACTCAAATCACAAGCTACAATGTATTTACAGACAATGCTATATTGCCAAATTTCACGACACTTCAAATTAGTGCTGCATTTATACAGGAATAAAATCCTCAACCCAAGGCCCAGTTTAATAGGTTACCCGAGTTCTTGGAAACAAAAAGTAATTATATAAAAGACAACAAAATGCACAATGTTAAAAAAAATCATTCATGAGCACCATTTGTCACAGACTGTATATTGTTCTTGACATGCATTGTTTATTTTTCCTTCATATAAACAGCTTGGCTGGGCCCTGGTTTGGAAATTAATTAAGCTGTGCTGTGGTCTATCATCAGGGCTTGAAATACTGGGTGCATGTGCACCTTAGTGCACCCAAAATTGGAGCCGTGCACCCAATTGTTTTCTATGGGTGCACTGATGCACCCAAATATTTTTGTAGGTATTTTCTTACATACCAACTGTATAATAGTATGCAGGATATTGTTGTCGTCCAAGTGTCTGAAAATAAAGTCTTTGTTGAAGTACTTGTTAAAGATTTTGAAGTTAGCTCCCATTTTGGATTCAAGCCCAGAAGAGAAGCAGTAAGATCTGTAATTAGGTTTTGTTTTATATGGTGCACCCAAAAAAATTTATGTGCACCTAATTTTTTAGGTTGGGTGCACCAGTGCACCTATTCCAAAAACTGAATTTCGAGCCCTGAATCATTATATACAATTTCCGAGTTTGTTAACCTTTTGTGTCCTCAGCATGTTTTCTGACTGGTTTGCTGCTTGGTTTGGGAGCAGCGTTCCTGTAGAGCAGTACAATCAGGGCGTTGAGGGGGACAATGACGACTGCACTCTGGACTGCAATCATGATCTGAGAAAAACAGAATCATACAGTCATGACATACATAATAGCGACCAACCAAACTGTTATAGGTTCATGGCAATTTCTTTAACAAGAGTCAGTGTAGATGAGTGTTCAATCTAGAAATATACGCAAGGCAGATGCACTGGGTTGCTTTATGTGTTGCCCAGGGCTTCTCACAGAAGGGGCAACTAAAAATTACGGAAAAAAATTCATCATTAACTTTTAAAGATATTCAAAAATCCTCGCGTACATTTTTTGCTATTACTCCTGTCCACCTCTTTATAAAATGTGATTAATAAAAACAAAGCGCACATTTGGAGCATTAGAACCCTAATATAACACTTTATAAAGTATATCAGTATCACAGAGATGCCAAACTCTGGTGTAAGGTGTAAGGTAAATGTACAATGTACAATGTAGTAGTGTGTAATTCATAGACAAACCTGTGGAAGGGACACTGGAGGTTCTATCTCCACTCCCATGATGCGGATGGGCTGCGGGGGGTCAAAGTTGTCCCCCTGCCCAAAGAACATGATGTTGGTCAGCATGGTGCTGTACACCGCAGACAGACAGCATGACAGCCGCTGGGTGCGGGTGAAGGCACTGCGGGCAGGACGACCAACCACGGAGAAGAACAGGTGGCCGTCATGGAAGTCCCTGTCAATTTGTAAACAGTATGTTTGTAAACACAGTATGTTTGCAAACAGTATGTACTGTAAAGTTTATAAACAGTGCGTACAGCAAAGTTTGTAAACAGTATGTACAGCAAAGTTTGTAAACAGTTACATTATTATGTACAGCAAAGTTTGTAAACAGTATGTACAGCAAAGTTTGTAAACAGTACGTACAGCAAAGTTTGCAAACAGTACGTACAGCAAAGTTTGTAAACAGAATGTACAGCAAAGTCTGTTTTGCATACCACCTCAAGGACAGAGTAGCAGTCACCAGTACAAGTTGCATAAGACTGGACAGATAGCCTTGCACTAGCTACAGGATTAATGAATAAATCAATGAAGATCTTTACTGTACATGGTACATGTACATACCCACTGGGTTGGGTACAGGTCACAAATGGAAGAATAGCTTGTAAATTTATAATATTTTATGACTGTTTAGACATGTAATACTATACATTCACATGATCAAGCTAGCACTATAATTATAAATAATATTTTTACACAACTAAATTACTAAAAAAAAAAGTAAATTTGACTTCTCGCTTCTCACAACTGACCATCATATTCCTATAACTTAAGCATGTTTTGCCTGCTCTCTATTTTTGACAGAATAGCAAAATTAGACAGGCAATTGTCATATTGTAATTATTGAAATTAGTAAATTATAGTAATTTTCTACACATTGTATCCGTTATAATTTTTGTGTAATAAAACTTGTCAATTGGATAATTATTTGTTATAATCTCACTTTGCAGCCCTTTCGCTAATGAGGTTGGAGATGGCTGCCATCTCGTCTGGGGAGGCAACAAAGACCATACGGTCGATTCTGCCGTCATCTTCATCTAGAGCTAGCCACCTGTAGGGAAGGACAATCAGTTTAATAACTACAGTAGACTTATAATGGCCCTGTTCATATGAAGTCAGTGAAGGCACTTTACATGTGGTTACCCCCGAAGCCGGTTTCAAGTGGCCCCATCTGAACGCTCCAAATCACATTGAAAGCGCCTCAATCCCAAACCACTTCTAGAGGTGTTTTCGAATCGGTTTTTCTGCATCGCGATTTCCTTCTGAACGCAATGTGATTTCAATGTAACTTTGCCTAGTCATGGATTATGGGGTGATATGTTTTTATTTATATGCAATAACAAATTTTACGTGGCAGCAACTTAAAGAGCAGTAATGGTCAAATAATGTGTCCATTCTAGGGCGAGCTTCACCGCCTCTGGCGGGACCACGTTGGCATTCGGCCGAGGTACAATGTACACTGGGAGGGGGGAACCAGGAAGCAGGTCGTTGACCTCTGACATTAATAACACGCTACCTTACGTGTTTTCATCAAACAACAATGAATGCAGTTTCGGAGAATCTTGATCGGGTACAGTTTGCAAGGAATGTATGGCAAGTGTACCAGATGTGCATGAGGAATGCGAGTTACCCGAATTGCGGTTCAGGTGGTTTTATATGAACAAGGCCTTTGTCATATTTGTGATGGTTTTATACAGTCACACATCTATTATCTAATGAAAGTTCATCTGTATTGGTAGCAACTGTACCCAGTCATGTTTAAAGCTAAAACTTTAATTGGTTCCAACACAAAAGGTAGATGTTCTCACCCAGAGCTTTGGACCAGTGTCAATCTACTGAGGAAGACCAGAGTGACTGGCCATAGTCGAAAGTTTTGGGAGAGAATATCTAGTATACTAGTAGTACCTTGTGTTTACCATTAAACTTGTGGTGGTTTTATTTTGAACTGCCTCTCCACCACAAAATCAATCCATTTTATGTGATTTTGTTACAGTATTGCTTTGAGCATGAACCTCTGAATCAGACATCATGAAACCTCTTTCCACTCCTTAAGAAATAGTACATACAATGACAGTACTCAATGTCGCCAGAAAAGTTAGTCGTAATAGTAGAGTTGGGACTCACGTTTTTACACTAGTGTGCATAAAGGATACTTGAAATAATACAACTAATACTGACAGTATCTCTTGTAATACTTTGACATGCAATAAAAGTTTCTGTAAATTCTGCATACTTGTTACAGATGAAATAGTCAAGCTGTCCTGAGGTCACATGTTGAATCACCACCTTACTCAGGTACCTGCAACGTTAACCAGAAGAACTGTAAAAATCTTTCTTCTCTTTATCATTCAATCTTTATCATTCTATCTTGGTTCTCTCATATTTCTATGAGCTGGTAGTTGTATCATTCTATCTTTCTATCAATTCAGGTACAATGTACATCTTATCTAAGACAATCTAATATATTTGTGACAATATTCTAACTATTATCATAATGTGACAGGGTATAATGTGAAATGGATGACTCAGTCTGGATGATGTTGTTAACTATATGAATGCGTACTAATGCTGACAGACTGTCAGTCTGTGCAAAGTTACGTCAAGTCAAAGAAACTTCTTCCTTGGTCAAAACATCTTTTAAAGCTGAACTCTCCTAAGTTACTTTTTTAGGGTCGTATTTGTTTCATGAGAATTGCACACAACACAAAAACATCTAAACCCTCTCATCAAAAACATGCATAAACAAATATCAAAACAATCATATACTGTACATCTGAAATAAACACAGGAGCAGCAATACAGCTTCCAAGTACAAGATGGATGAGGAAAATGAAGAAATCTACCTGTACAAGAAATAAAAGACTTATAGTTGTGAGTCTTGTGACAATTCAATTTCAATGGACCTATCACATTATCACGTCACAGTTTGTTTACCGCAATGAATGCCGGTCAATCAACATTTATATTGTACAGGAGTGTGTAGCGCGGTGTGTGTTTGTGTAGCGTTAGCCTTGATATAAGGCCTTTAATACAGTTTTACTTTCGTCTAATGTCACAACTAAATCACCCATTACGACAGTCATGTAATGCTGTGTCAACAAACTAGATGCAGCAAAATTCAAACATACCTGACTTAGAAATGATCTCTATTCTTTAACTGACCGTTCTAGAGTGTTCTTTAGAACAGGTAAACAAACTGTGACGTAATAATGTGATAGGCCCATTGTGGCTCACCATGCTGGGCTGTGGCCGGAGTTGTCGTGCCAGACATGGATGTGTGTGAGTGGTCCCAGGGGGTTCTCACAGGACACCAGGAAGGAGTCCACACTGCCGCCCTGGAACAGCTGACGGCGGCCGTCCTGCAGGGCCAGGGGCTGGCTCTCATCACGGAAACCAAACACAGTGATGGAAACCTGTGTTCAACATTTTACATATATTTTAATGGTCATTGCTCTGCAGAACTCACCCAACTAGTTCCACCTCTCAGAACTTTTAAGCGTTCCACTAGGTTCTCTACTAGCTCACACAACTTTACTGTCCAAATTCCTTGTTTGAAAGCTTTCTACAGTGACAGTTTCTTTCCCCGTACGGCTTTGGAATTCCCTCCCTGACAAGTGTTTCACAAGATTGGCCGTAAATTGCAAAAAAAGTTTTGGAGAAACAATACTAATAATTAGAATACAAAAATCAATTCCAAAGGAAAAGATTGAAGAAAATTTGAAGAAATGAAACTGCATGCATGAGTCTACAGGTTGCATTGTCCAATCTACCATACTCTGTGTAGTTAGTCCGGAAACCGGAAGTTCTGCTGCAGTACCACAACAAGCTGCCAGGGGGCCCAAAATCTAATCACTTCTAGGTCTCACCAAGACCTACCCACCTACCAAGTATGAAGACAATCCATTTAAGCCTTCTTGAGTTATTGTCACTACAGACAGACACATGAACGCCTCTGGAAACATATTTTGTTACCTTCTTGGCCAAGGTAAGTATATCCTCTCCCTGATTATGAATCTTTTAATATATTTTTATTTCCCATGCAGTCATGCATACAGTACATTGATTTAAAAAAAGTATGTTCCAAGTACATTGACAAATCCCTGATGCCTGTAACGTTCATAGATTGCAATTGGACTCTACACTACATTTTGTCTGATTTAACCTGAATTATGCTTTCTTTGACAAATATAAAGCACCAAACCTGTGCAGTGGTACCGGCATCCAAGCGAAAGCCAGTGTAGACGGTGATTATGTAACGACAGTCAGGGTCAGGGTTCAATGTATGACAGGTTGGTGTGGTCACACCCACCTACATTGTACATGGCGAGATAAGAGCATCCAAAAAGTTACAAAAAAATAATATTATACAGCAGAGCTAAGAATACTTTTTCTGCATACCTGCACTCCTGGAGGTAACATTGGAAATGACCTGCACCATGTTACATGTACCTGCACCACTTTTAATAATAAAAAAAGGGACCAATTGATGCGTTCCGCATACTTGTCACCCTCTGGTATGTACTCATGAAAAATATACTCATGAAAAATATAAACTCAATCAAGTAAAGCATTCTGGAGTAGAGCTGTGTACCGGTACGCAGTACCGATACTGTACCGGAAAAATTGATTAGGTACAGGTCCAAAATACCTACTCCCTCAGTACCGGTACTGTACCTAAACAATTTCACACCAATTTTATGCCTATTTGTGACCTCAAATGTGTATAAAGGTGGTTAACAATGGGTCCCTGTGTAAGGACAGCGTGTTCATAAAAACAAAACACTTAGTTTTGCCTATATTTTATCTGAGCATTCGCCATAAACAAAGAATAAACCTTAACTATCAAGTTTATTTATGTTTTTTTGTTATTGAAGGAGTTCAGAAGACCATATAAATTGGTCGAATTGTTCAGGTACAGGTTCAGGTCCGGACCTGTACCTAAACCTGTGTACCTGTACCTGTACCTGTACCTAAAATTTGTTTAGGTACACAGCTCTATTCTGGAGTTATTGGCCCGGAGTCCGGAATTAAATTGTTTTTCCAGAATCAAATTGTGGCTTGTAGATTTAGCTGGTAGCAAACAGTACAGAACACTAAATATGTACCAAATACAGGCTGGGATGGTGCAGGTTACATCAGAAATACCAGGTGCACAACTCCATTTTTACCTGCACTAACTTCAGCATATGCAGGTTGTATTTTGAGCTCTGATATCATTTCAGTTATTTAAATATTACTTATAAGCGGTTCCACAGAGGCGATGCCTTTCACAGACCATTCAGCATCCAAAAATTCCACCAATCTCTCAACAGCCTTTCTGTGATGGTTCAATAATATCCAGTGATCTCCAATGATCAATGATAATTTTCAATGATTTCAATGACCAATGGTTAAACTACCATGATCAAGGAAATTCAAATCAATTCAAATCCAAATTATGTTTGACTGGAAGCGTTTAGAGGGACAAATAAAAAAACTGCCCAGAGAGATCAGACTTTGTGGATTGATAAAATCTGGTTTATCTTTATGTGCAGGTGGTCACCTAATAATAGACAGGATATTATACTAACCCACAGGACAGAGACAAGTGGCGTGCTGCCATCAAGCCCCAGATGTATTGTGCAAGCACGTCTTACCATCGGAAGATGGGGAACAACAGACGATAAACCTGACAGTGAGTGAGTGAGTGAGTGTCAATGGGAAAAGTTATTGAAGGGTATCACTGATACATTGGGTCACATTGGCCTTATAGATGTGGTCACTTCTACAGGTTTGACTGTATCATAAAATGCACAGATTTCTACTTCCTAACCTTAGTCAGGTCCAGTCTGTCTGCCTTTCTCGCCATCAGATATCCGATCAGGAACAGACCAAACACAGTCAGGACTAAGATGAGTCCTATCGGGTTCTCCAAAATGTTTCCACTTGGCGTGAAGTCTATAGGATTGGGCGGGACAAACCCGGCAAACTTGGTCAGGTGGTCACAGCGGCAGTGGAGGTGTGTCATGTTGGAAAGTGGGCCCACCTGTTAAGAACAAATTTGTTTATTTCGATACCCTTTAGTCCATGACTTAGTCTTCCAGGGTTCAAAACATATAAACATATGAACATACTGACAACAAATTAAAAGAGAATCAACATACATAATCATCACAAATTATATATTAGGTTTAAACAAAACGATCAACTTATGTACAACTGGTGGATGGCCTTTATGAATTAATGTTGACTGGTCAGTGTTTTGATACTGGGTGGCAGGGTGTTCCATACTAGACCATAGATTAATGGCGCAGTAGAGAAATGTTCGCTTTTTGCTGTTTGTTTTTGGTTACTTAGTAGGTAGTTTGAAACTGCAAGAATTGGCAAATCTAGTTGAATACTTGTGGGTAGAATGGACGGGAACAATGGAGCTGTAGATGTTTTTGGGTTCGTGACTGTTAAGAATTCTAAAAAAGACATATTTAAAGTACTGGTAGCGAACCTCTCTCTGACCGTCAGCCAACCCAGATCTGAGTGCATTTGCTTGACAGGTGTGTCTAGTCAGCATTTCAAAATCAATAAATAAACTGGTAAAGTGAAACAGCAAAATGATCAGACTACTGTACATGTACATCATCTGTGAATAGTTTCATCGGGTTGGACTAAATGAACAATAAAAGGATAACTGTACAGCTCTTAAAAGCATCCAATACAATTTCAGGGTGGCAAACCTGGATTTTCAATTTTCTGGTCATTCTTTTAATGTAGCAAGTTAAGTCAACCGTATCCCATAGCATACTGATAGTGAGGAAAAAATGCAATGACATATTGGCTGAAAATGGTAGCTTACATGCTGGTTCTAGCTCCATGTATCTATGGGTGATATGTGTCTTTTCTGTCTACATTACTTAGCTAAATGATTTAAGAAGCTACAAAACAAATATGATTAAATGTTGCTCCATTGGTATGGTGCAAGTCTCAATTGGTAGAGTGCTCGCTTTATAACCGGGAGGTCGTGAGTTCAAACCCTGGCCGGGTCATACCAAAGACTTTAAAAATGGTACACACTTCTTTCTCTGCTTAACACTCAGCACATATAAGAAAGAGTGTGGGACTGAGGTCAAACACACAGAACTACCAGCGGACTAGGCCCCTGCTGTAGTGCCCTGCACAACTGTGTGTCACCCAAGGGCTACGGAAATGGACATGGGCACCAAACCCTATGCTCTGCAGTCTGCATAGAGCATGGGAGACCATTGGTATATAAAATGTCAATGATCTACATTCAACACTTACCTCGCAACCGTCATCTTCCCATTGGTGGGATGAGTCTTCTCCAAAGTAGACACATGCACTTTCCAATATAGACACAGTGATACTGGTGTCCTCTCCAGCATACTTCACACCTGCAGGAAAATAAACCATTCATACCACAGTTGTCCATTTGGCCCAATCTAGAGCAATAGAGAACGGACAAGGAAGAACTTGCTGTTTAACTCTAGGTCCCAACTTTGTTAGCTAATTGTCATGTCCATCTTTAAGCAACAGACAATGTGAATTTTAAAGTCAACTACATGTTGTATGTTTACTTCTTCCTTGTTGAGTTCCACTTAGTCTACTTTTTCGAAGTAGTTGCTGCCAAACAGTGTAAGTCTTAATGGCAAGAGTCTTAGGTCTAAAGACTATGCAGCATTAGAATACATTTATGCCCTCATTGTAGCTGTTATCTTTGTGGGATTGGAAGGGTGGCAAAGCACTATGGTAAGGGGTGAAAGATGCCATCACCGATTTCCTTGTTACAGTAGATGCAAACAAGGTCATACCTAAGAAGAAAGTTGTGTTGTTTTGTAAGTCCGACTCCGTAAGATTCAGAGCTTCGGGTGGCAGAAGCCAGGAGTACGGGTGGGATGTTAGGATTGTATTGTTGTATGTGTGCTGCAGCTGTAGTGTATACAGCTGGTCCTGTGGAACAGGTAGCACAGCTGTCCAGCTGGCAGCTTTAAAGCTGTTCGCAGTCGGCGGGGATGCTCTCTGCCACACCAGCTGCATGTGTGGCGGGTCCAGGTCTGGCTGTCTGGTGATGTTGCTGGTGATGTTGCTGGGTTGCTGGTGATGATGCTGTGTTGCTGGTGATGTTGATGTTGCTGGTGATGTTTGCTGGTGATGTTGCTGATGATGTTGCTGGGTTGCTAATGATGTTGATGTTGCTGGTGATGTTGCTGGTGATGTTTGCTGGTGATTTTGCTGGTGATGTTGCTGGTGATGTTGCTGATGATGTTGCTGATGATGTTGCTGGGTTGCTGATGATGTTGATGTTGCTGGTGATGTTTGCTGATGATGTTGCTGATGATGTTGCTGGGTTGCTGATGATGTTGATGTTGCTGGTGATGTTTGCTGATGATGTTGATGGTGATGTTGCTGGATTGCTGGTGATGTTGATGTTGCTGGTGATGTTTGCTGGTGCTGGTGCTGGTTTGCTGGTGATATTGCTGTTGCTGTTTCTGTTGCTGGTGCTCTTGCTGGGTTGCTGTTGCTGTTGATGTTGCTGTTGATGTTGAGTAGGATGGTGAGTGCAGTCATGGTCCTCTTGGGCTGGAAGCGGACAACCTGCACACAGGCAATCATACATATATTGTAAATATATGAACCTGCACACAGGCAGTCATGGTGTTAGTACAAGTGTACACAAGTGAACACTATATGGAATAAAACCATCTCATTGGGTACATCTAGGTCATCAAAACAGTTCTTTGAAACTCTTGCCAAAAATTCTGCAACACAAATTTGCTTAATGAATGAGGCATCAACTACTGACCTAGTATAACTCTGCAGGCTCTTGTTTGAACTGATTATATAGACTTGGACTGGGCAGCAGGTCAAGTGTGTATTTTTAAACCTAAAATTAAAAAGCATCTGCCGGATACAGTGGTGCAAGCCAAGTGGGCATGATTTTTTTGGGGGGGGAGGGCATTCTTAAAATTCAGGTAGCACACTGGGCTACCTAGGTTCAAAAATAGGTTGCCCCAAGAAAAATTTGGGCAACCAGGTATTTTGCACGCTGATGATGTCACTTGAGATTGGCTGTCCCACTTGAGATTGGCTTGAAGAATCACCCCAAGGACTTTCACCACTTCAAGTGCTGATGTTCTGATGATAGGAGAATCTGATATCAGAAATTCGTAACAACAACAAATTACGAACATACAGATTACTAAAAAATAGTTACCATGAGGAAAAATATCTGTCAGTGAGAATTACAAAGTTAACATTCGACATAGAACAGTCATCACAAAACTCCACATAGAAAAAGGCAGACACAATTGCATTCCTCTACAGCAAAGGATCTGCCAATTTTGTAATCTACAATGTAGATAATATTGAAGATGAATACCATTTTGTAGTTGACTGCACATTACATAGAAATGAGAGGGATTCCCTCTATACTTATGTGATAGATAAGTTCCCAAGCTTTAGACATTTAGACAGAAATAAAAAAATTTGAAATGACAAACTTGACAAACCATGTATCATTAGCTCAATATGTTTGTACATCTTTAACTGCGTCAAGAAGTGAGAAGTCGAGCCTGTAAATATAGATCACATTATTGTATAGTATGTCTAAGTGTCATTGCTGTATTCTTTTCCCCGCTTATTCATGACCTGTACTTAGCTTGTTAGAGCACAAACATACAATAAAGGTCTTTCATTCAATATAGATACAGGCGGATGGAGAAACCGTGCTCACAAGGATGTCATCCCTGCTGCTGACCCTGCCTGTGTACTTGAACACAGAACTTGTTGTGCGCTGTTTGTCCCTGGGGATGATCATGTCCACAGGTTCTGGGAGGTCGTGCACCGGGCGTCTGTCCCATCCCTGCCACACTGTCAGGCCTGCCACCTCCGAATCTACGTCAGGGGAGTTTCCCGCGTACCGGAAAGGGTTGAAGTCCGAGTTGATTACCTGCAGACATTGCACAGTATTGGGAAGAACACAATATTCCTGGTGAGTGCATGGTGACACAATAACTGAAAAGGGAATAGAAGTTCGTTGAACAGGTTCATCAGTCAGGTAGTTTTTACTTATCAGAATTATCAGTCTTGACCTAGTCTCATGTTCTCACGAGACTACAATGTAGGTCACTCCGTGATCAAGATGTACAGTGGACATCGAAAATTTGGAGGTACGTGTTTCTGCCTTTCAAAAGAGTCACTGATTGAGGAATATACTTAGTCTACTCACTGGAACAGAAGTTGAGTTAACTTTCTATAACGATAGACTAAGTTCGTTTTAAATTCATTTTGTAACTGTCTCTGTTCATCTTGTTTTGTTGTGACCTGTCCTTAGCCTGAAATGTGGCAAAAAAGTATTGGATTGTCTCTCCTGCCATCTTTTCTTTCAATATGTTTAGGAGAATTGATCAGAAACAATTCAATAACAGTCCGTCTGTGATAGCACTTAAAACTGGAAGTAGATTCTAAAATTCATAAGGGACTTATGTAAAAGAAGCATTCACCTCCACTTCAAAGCTATCCTCACAACTGTTGCTGAGGAGGTTGAATGCTGGGACTACAAAGAGGACGTCATTGACTGTGAACACCTTCTTCTGGCCAACTTGACAAGGCTCCTTCTGGACCTTGGCATGAAGCGATGACATCTCAAGTGAGGCACTCCCGGCCCCATCAGCTGCCATCAGGGTGTCGTACATGTGAAGCACATTGCTGATGGCCTTGAAAGCTGTGCCGACTGTTTTATTGTTCTGTGAACAAAAGTGGTATGAGACTTAGCGCTATGTGCAGAATTCTGGTTTATATTGGTGTGCCCATGTAAAGCCTTGGTCACAACCCGCAGTACATGCTTTTTGGGAGGCTACGTCTGCTACAATTTTTCTGAAAACGTGGGGAAGTGGCGTTGACGCACGTCATTCGCACGGTTGCGCAAGGTGTAAGAGTGTGGTCTGCACGCTACGTCTGGCCGTGAGCGGTTGCGTGCATCGTTCATTGTGCAAGTGGTGAGTACGATCTCTGTGCGATTACAACTTTACCGTAAGGAGGCCGTACTCACACGTGCGTCTTATGTACGGTACATACATGTATGAGGCACGCGCGTCGCCTGTACTTGCACGTACAGGTGGTGAATCCACAGGCCGCACGCAGAAAAAGTTTTACATGCACTTAAAGTTCTACGGCGTGTCTGCATGCTTTCAAATCCGTAGGATTCCGTACGGAGGTGGTACTCACTACGCACGGATGCCCTACGTTTGTCCACGTTTTTGCACGTAGACAGCACGCAGAAGCACGTACGGCTGGTTGTGACCAAGCCATTAGACATCCTTATTCATGTGTAATGTTGTACCAGGTGCACCAAGCATTTAACATGACACTGCATGATATTACATACACACAAAGACTTTGGAATTAAAAATTTGTGCAAGTCATGATACCAATTTATTAGAATACCCAGTAGTGGTGGGTCTGAGGGCACACCACTAGTCTTCATGATCATGTTCATGGCCTTCTCAACAATAACAATAACATACAATAAGGCCACACCATCCTAATTTTATGGATGACATCCGCTGAAGATCCACAAACTAGTGCGTGCTGGCGAATAAAAAAATTCTACTAAACCACGTCAAGACAAATTTGGTATTGTGAATTTGCGGCAGTACTTAGCGACGTAACAAGCCGGTACACGTTGGCTTTTTGCGGAATTAATGAACTGTACAGAATTCTTGAGTCGTTGAGCTTCGGTAGCCTGGGTGCCCACCTATGTATTGTCGATAACTACAATGAAATACCCAGGCCTAGAGCATGGCCAGAGCCTCGGTGGACTCGGTGATCTTTTTTTTTGTTGTTGTTGAGAACAGGCGAAAATCAATGCGCGCGCAGATGTCATCCATAAAATTAAGTCAGTGTGACCTAATATAGCAATATACATTCATTACATTCACCCATCAACAGTATTATGCAACATAATTACCATTATGATAATACAATTACCAATTAGATTAAAATCAGTCCCATTGTGCAAATATCACTACTGGAACAGCAAATTTGAATTAATAATAGTAAAATTGGCTATTCACAAAATACAGCATGACTGATGTATTATAATTCTATATCAGATCTATAAAGACCAAGTCTTACAAGTTCAGTTGTCTCTTGTAAGTTGGACCCTTCAACATCCAAGTCAGAGGTTGAAGTAGACTCCATCAGGATTGCCATACCTACAGAGAAGGGCAAAAATTATGTATCAATGGTTTATTTCACAAGTACACACAATACTGTATTAAAACATACTCAAAAGCAGAAACAATACTATTGTTCTGGGTCTGTACAGACTATTTTTCTGAATCCCAAAAAGTAAATGAATCAGCAACTTAACACTGAGACTGGACTAGGCAGCAGTGATATTATACAAAATTCTTGTAAACCCCCCCAAGTACCTTCAAGGCAGTCGGTATGGCCCTTCCCGCGCTGATTTTGACGGACGTGCTCGAAATAGAATTCTCACCAGGGACAGGACCAGTGTGAAGTCACTAGGAGGATAGTCAGTGTGAATGTAAGTTCAGCACCAGGGACAGAACCAGTGTGAAGTCACTAGGAGGATAGTCAGTATGAATGGAAGTTCAGGGACAAGACCAGTGTGAAGTCACTAGGAGGATAGTCAGTGTGAATGGAAGTTCAGGGACAGAACCAGTGTGAAGTCACTAGGAGGATAGTCAGTGTGAATGGAAGTTCAGCACCAGGGACAGGACCAGTGTGAAGTCACTAGGAGGATAGTCAGTGTGAATGGAAGTTCAGCACTAGCACCTGACATTACATCCGTTTGTCTTGAAAACAAATAATTTTTATTATTATTAGTATTGCTGTTCATTCCATGGGATATAATGTTTCTATTTCCACACACCTGTGAAAATGGTTGCAGATGCCGTATTGATGTTGCTCACTTGGGTACTACCAGTTTTGTCATTTTCCACCATCATCTTCATGGATTCTGCTGATTTTTCTAGACCTCTCGCAACCTTCAGCTGAGGCAAGAAAGAAAACATTTGCTTGTACCTGACCTTCGCAAGGAAATGTAGCTAACAGAAAGGGCTGATAAGCCAGAGGATCACAATTCATTTATTTGCATTTTAAAGATAATAACTACAAGAAGGAAATATATAAATGAAGTATAACAGTAATAGGGATGCAATGAGCAACATGCACAGGTATACAGGAAGCTGACTTACACTAATACTGACAAAGCTTGTCAACACTGAGCCTACAATTTGTAAACATGCAGTCCTTATAATGCCCTACGGAGGTTAGTCGCTAAGTTTGCAACATCATAAAGTCTGGATAGGCTATATGATAATAATGTTAATGACCCGCCTATTCCTTAATGTACATGGTGTCATAGGGTTAGTCGCTATGTTTGCAACATCATAAAGTCTGGATAGGCTATATGATAATAATGTTAATGACCCGCCTATTCCTTAATGTACATGGTGTCATAGGGTTAGTCGCTATGTTTGCAACATCATAAAGTCTGGATAGGCTATATGATAATAATGTTAATGACCCGCCTATTCCTTAATGTACATGGTATCATAGGGTCTGGTCATCTCCGGATAAACACATTTTAAACTCTGCCTCCACTCACTCTGCAATTTATTTGATGGTTATAGAAAATAACCAGGCCTTACATGGCTCCACCACACACACTCCAAGATAGGTTAGGCCTCACCGAATTAATTTTATCGATGACATCCGCGCGCACATTGATTTTCGCCTGTTCTTAAACAAAAAACCTCCTCCGAGGCTCTGGCCTGCCTGAGTACCAGCCTCCCTATGTCCATGGTAGTCAGCAACAATAAGGCGCATGTGCAGGCTTGTCGTAAAAGTCGCTAAGTAACTGCAATTCACAATACCAGCTTTGAATGTATTCCCGTGGTTTAGCTACATTTTTGGGGCAGCTGGACTTTTTTTATTCACCCGTGCACACTAGTTTGGGTCTCTTCAGAGGATGTCAGCCATAAAATTAAATCAGAGTGGCCTTATTAACCCTTAAGGTACCAGGGGTGGCTAATTTGATGATTTGAGTTGTTACTGTTTTACCAAAAAAGAATGACAAAGAACTGGGGTTGTACTGAATAGTAGGTTCCCAAAAGTAATTTTTGGTACCACATGCATGTTGTCATCATGTTTAAATGCCCTTTTCATTAATTTTTTCAAAGAAAAAATACAGAACTGTGGCAATTCCAAACAACATAAAACTTGGGTTTTCATTTCAAAATGATAAGAGCTACAAGTTGTTCCCTGTATATGATTTGATCATCACTACTTGAAGACTATTGCATTCTCCCTCACAAAAGCTCAAACCAAGTAAATTATCCTACTGTATCATCATTGGAGAGTTTCTCCAGGTCGGCAGTGTGCATAACTAGCAGGGATGAAAGGTCCATGACAGCATTGACATCCTGCAGCGGTATCTGTAACAGGCTATCAAAATCCACAGGCTGCCCCTGTACAGAAAAGAAAACAAAACATTTCAATGCTGGCATTAGCACTATCCAACCTTTAGGACATCAACAGCACACTATGTTATGCACAGAACTGAAGAACAAGGGACTTTCCCCCTTTCTGAAAAATGTTTGAACTGTAATTTTCAACACAAAAATTGGAATTACCAAAATTGAACTCCAGTCTTCAAGAGATGAGCAATCCACCGCTTCTGTGACTTCACATTACAAGGAGAGATGTGTGAAGTTGAAAAATTTGGATAAGTTCAATTTTGTGTTTTGTGTTTGTGGCGTCGGGTGGTGTAGTGGTTAGATCATTTGACTATAAAGCGGGAGACCCGGGTTCGATCCCGAGTCGTACCCGTGACATGTCTGGACATGCGGCCTGACGTTGTGCCCTTTGGAAAGGCACTTTTCACGACTTTCCTCACTCCACCCAGGTGTGAATGGGTACCTAACTTCGGTTGGGGAAATTCGTATTGAAGTAACCTTGTGGTGCCGAATGGCAGCCGCACAGACCCTTGCAACAGTTCCACAAAAAATTGTGGAACAAATAATGTGTATTATGTGTATTATTTGATTGTTGTGATTTGCATTGATTATCATGTTATACCCTGCATCAATTCAGCCGTATAAAGGCTGCAACTTCACAGGTACTGTTTGGACAATAAAAACCATTAAAAATTACAGTTCAAACCTGCTTCATGATCAGAATGACTTATACCAAGTTGAACACAGATGAACTTTCAAGCTAAGACTTACCCCACTGTCTTCCATGATGTTGAATTCTGCAACTCTCCCATCTACAGAGATAACCTCCAGCTCTATGGTGAAGTTGTTTGGGGGAAAGAACTTTGGGCAGTACCACGGAACCTTAAAGATAGTTTTAAAGGATACAGAATTACTTGCTGAGCAGTATTTGAGGAATTATAATACCGTAGTACTACTTATGGGCTGCCCGAACATTGGCTCCTGAGTAAAAAAAACACAACGGGCGACGTACATAAATGATGTTGAAAGTAACAACATTTATGGCACCAAAGCTATGCAGCCATTGCTGACTTTACATTTGGAAACTTTGGTATCATTCACTGACTGTTAGTGTTTAGTAAATAAGTTAGAAGATTGATTATTTTTTCGAAATGGAATCATGTAACATTTTTGCACCAAAAAAAAAAAGATATTTTAATTGAAAAAATCTTGTGTTTACTTTCACATTTGTGTTGTGTTTACTTTCACATTTGTGCAATTGTCTCACATTACCGTCAGCGCTAAATCGGCCCACATAAGGCATGCACACTCAGTTTCTGTTACCACCACAAACTACCAGAATGTAAACAAACATGGCTGACAGCTGTATTTCAAGCTTTTAAACACACTCATAAGGTATAATACTTTGGCACCTCCACTTCCTGAATGGCAACTATTTGCAAAGGAGTATGGTTGATTCAACTTACTTTGTAAAGAAATGTAAGGAAATTGACTCTTTGTATTCATAAATTAATGCTTTCAAATTAATAAATTTTGTCAACCTAATACCTGGCTGAAATAAGGTGTGAATTGGAGGGATGCCTGCAGAAAAGGTGCGTCTTGAGGGAACTGAACCCAGCCCATCTCTACATCCACAGGTGAATGAATTATTGCAAACTTGTAGGTAACATTGACACGGCCTGGGTCATCGACGAAATCTGCAAAATTTAAAGTGAAAACATGGCAGGCAATAAAAACTATAAAAGATCAAATGATGTGGTGTTCATAAAAAATAGCACGCAGTCTCGGCTTCCCTGAAGTACATATCAATATTATGGTGTTTGCGGGTTGGTCCACTTCACCAGAGGATTTGTTCATTCTGTTCAAATCAGATTGAAGGTCAACATCACATTATGGATTTTTCATGCTGATAAACGCTTAAAACTTTCTTTCTGCTTGCTTAACAGAATTTGAAACATTCCATCCTATAGATAAATTCAACAATAAAATTCTAGGAGAGTGTAAACCCTAACTGTGTACAAAGAGGTAAATATATCAAAGAATGTTTAAACCTTAGAACTAGCAGTTTAAGTTATACATTAAACTCGTACTACGTATTACTTAAAGTTAATTCATTCCTATTCATGCACGTTTGTTTGTATATTATCACACCTTACAAAAGTCACAGTACTTTTGTTGTGTTTGTAAGGCCACACCAATTTAATTTGTTGGTTCTCAGATTTTTTCAGAAAAAATATGAAGCGACAGGGTGAAAAAAAAATAAAAATAAAAACAGACTTGAGCATCCTATGATAGCCCCAAATGCTATATGTTAGGAGGTTGAAGAGAAGGGACTTCCTTCAACTGTTGGGGCCAAAATATGAGCATTTTGGAGTAATGATTCAGAGGCTGAAATGTTTTTGGTTTTTTTTGCAAATCAGAAAAAAATTAAGTGGGCGAATCCGTGAACCAACATATCAAATTGCTGTGGCCTAAGTAAAGATCGGTGTCTATGTTAAAATGACAATCATAGTAGAGCTGGTAAACTAACCTCCACAGCAGACACATCTGCCTGCCCCTGCACGTTTTATCACACAGGGAGTGGACAGACCCTTGTTCCGCAGTGCTGGGGGACCAACAACTGTGAACGTCCACTCTGACACTGCCAGGCCATCCCTGCAGACTCTGTTGTGGTTGACAACGCGCAGAATGTACGTCCCTGACACCTGCAAGTGAGAATATGACCAATGATATGATTATAATAACCTTTATTGTACATTCATGCCCTATCGGGCTAAATACAGGCGAACAGATGAAAGGGTAATATACATGTTTGTAGTACAAACAGCTCTAAAACTAACTCTAATACAAAGGATCGGCTTTTTCTCATTTCTTTGTGATGTTAAAAATATAATTTGAAATGGGTTTGTTTAAAACAGGATGATCAAAGCGCATAAGAAAGATAAATTTTTCAATATTAGTCAAGTATTGGAAGTATGGATTACGAAACGTACTTGCAATATATCTAAAAAGATCATTTCTTTCATTACTATATTATTATCAAACTACAATCAATAACAAAGTGGACTTCATCTTCTACTTTGTTTGAGCTACAAAATTGGCAGATCCTTTGCTCCAGAGGTGTGCGGTTGTGCCTTCCTGTTTCGATGCTGAGTTTATGACAGCTGATTCGTAGTTTGGTGATGGTGTTGTTTTTACTTTCTTTTGGGATTTTAAAGAATAAAAAAATGCAGATTCGGAAGTATGATAATTACATGTATGATGTGAAAAATACATTGGAGGACTCCAATTGAGTACAAGCCACAACAATGAGAAAGACAATCTAAATTTGTTCTAAGTCAATCTGTGCTTACGCTTATAGCTTCTGGTTGAATCAAAATATGTACGTTTACTTAGTTCTAAATTGTACATGGTCTCTTGTTACTCAGCTCTCCTGGTACAACCAGGAAATGGATTCCAAATATGACAAGCAAAAAAGCCCAATTCATAAGCCCAGTAAAAGAAACCAGAAATGTCTTGCACCTACATTGTAGCACCTATTCTGTCTATTCCTATGTAACAAATATTCCACGACAACTACAATATTCAACGACAACTACTTAGTAAAACTGTACGAGTTCAATAGAATTGTATTGACGAATATAAATATAGTACATAATGTATTATACTTATAGTAAATGCATGATACCTAGGTCAGATTGCATAGCCTGTTAGTGTTAACGTTAAACTGCAACATCTGTTATGTAAAAGTATGTTAACCTGACATGTAAATATAGTACACAATGTAATTATAGTAAACGCATGACGACTAGGCCGGATCTCATAGCTTGTTAACGTTAGACCGCAACATCTGTTATGTAATAGTATGTTTATCTGAAGTGTAACCGACACTGTTAACTGTTACCTGTTCTGAATTGTTTATGTTCTTGTTGTGAGGGCTAGCCCTTTATAATAGCCTCCGGCTAGTTGGGCAGTCCTGGCTGTATATAACTTATATGTCTTTGATAATACAGTCTAATAAATCAAATCAAATCAACAAAAGAGGGCTATGTGATGCTCGATATCAGCTATTGCTGCCTGGATGACCAATATTGCACTGCCTGGATGACCAATATTTAAAGAATTGGCAGGAGGAGAAGGAGAAGAAACATAAGGAAAAACAATTGTATGTCCCAACCACACCATTATGTTACAGGTGTTGGTGAAGCCATAAAAATAAAATATACTATTAGTTACAGCAAGGTTTTCAGATGCTTTAAAAGCATCTGAAAACTCACATTGAATGTGTTGCTTGCGATGACAACTTCTGGTTGTGTACTGTTCATCTGGAGACCTCCAAAGCCCTGGGGGTGCTCCACCACTGTCCACTCATACCAGGGGGTCTCACTGCTACCTGGAACAGCCTCCAGCACCAGATCCTCGGATGAGTTTGTGTTGGACCAATCACAGTTGTTGATGCAGCTACAGTTAGGCAACAATGCAATTGATAAGATTAAATCCAGTCTGAGAGCAATGAGAATAGAGTATATAGAGAAAAGCGGATACTGTTTCAGTGGGTTTGAAATATGCAGACATTAGATCAAAAATTTTATAGCTTTCCCCATAGTTGACCCTCAAAAAGGCTATGTAGGTCAGTGATTATTTGCTAGGACAGGGCTCGAAATTCATTTTGGTGCACTGGTTCACCCAACAAGTAGAATGTCAGCAAAAACTAATAACGTTTGCATGATTTATAAATATTGTTACTTTTAATTCCTTTTTTTGGTCCTTGGATATCAAGTATATTCTGTATACTAACTTAATACATGTAATACATTTAGCATCTTTAAATACGTAAACCTACGAAAATATATGGTGCACCCACAGAAAAAAAAATTGAGTGCATAGCTCCAAATTTGGGTGCACTTAGGTGCACATGCACCCAGTA